AATAAACATTGAGATACAGTATAGCTGCTTGGGAACCAGTGGAAGGGTTAGGGTGTCAGGTGAAGACTCCAGAAAGTTTGAATTCTTCCCTGGCCACGGAAACTCACTGCAGAGTGTCAATGGGAAACCTCTCCTTGAATATCTTGTGTACTCCCAAAACACTATTAGGGTCCTTGTATGTTGGAAGTGCTGCCATTTTAATTAGCTACAACTGTGTAGCATCAATAAATTTCTAGAAAGTACACCCATCATAATGCATGGTTTTCTAATCACCTTCCTTCCTTCCTTCCAGGCACAGATGTCCCACATTGGGTCGTCTCTTCACCACCGCACCCCATTCCCGTATCGTACCCCGGAAGACGCCTGGTGGATTTTTGTCCTATCCAACACTCTTTACGCCATCGGGCCCCATGTCCTGGCCTACCGCTGCCTCTGGAGCCCTGCTTTTTTCTTTTCCTCAGTTTCCCGGGACGAAAACAAGAAGACTCAATGATACCGGCCCTGAGAGGGTCCGTATTCTCTCCATAGACCAGGCCGCACTGCATGACGCTGCTTCCTTATTGAACCCCTGTCCGGATAAGTTTTGAACAGAAGCGTGAAGAATGTTGTCTTAAGTCCCTCAACCGTTTCGATTTCAGCTGCCTCCGCGGGCCAAGGAGTCTTGATGTCCTGTGACTTTGTGGGAAACGTAGCTGCAGAAAATGGTCCTTTTGAGATTTTTTTAAAGGGGCACACGTAGTGAACACAGAAGGACTGGGCAATTGTGCAAAAAACAAACAAAAATAAGAAAAGATAGGAGCAACCCATCCGGTGCTTCAGATTTTTGAAATCTCCTGAGACAGAACTTCCGTTGTCACTTTTTTTTTTGCAACCTGGATTATTTGCCACCACTAACACACACACCCCCAAAAAAACCCAGAGATGGGTCAAATCTCTTGGCGAAAACATCTTGAAATTTCTCGCCAGCCTGGAAAGAAAAGCTGTGAATTCTCATTTTTGTGTCCGAGAATGATGTAAGCGAGGATTCGCATCCTCAATTCTCTACACCTTCAAGGAGGTTCAGCTTTTTTTTGAAGTTTCATGCAAGGTCTACTCGCCGCAAGCGATCCCGTTTGAAAAATGGATCGAGCTGACTCTGAACCGAGGGCAAGTGGGGGAATTCCCAGCAGTGTATCAAAAGGGACTCAGGTCTATTTTGCCAAGTTGCACCTGAGTTTTACGATTTGGGTCGATGGTCGGGCGGAGGAACCAAAAATACCTTTCAAAGCTGTGATCGGCCGGTGGCTCACGATCCAGGACCATGGGCGGCTCGGCTTCATTCGGGAAACAGGGTCCAGTTGTATGAAACGAGAGGTGGGCAAAATTTGAGTCCACCGTTCTTTATAGAATAAAGATTGATTTGTATATGGATCTGGAACAGATTTGCATTTCCTATCAATGACGCCTGAGTTTCTAGTTTTCCTGGAGAGGTGAACCTGTGTTCATCTCCCCCCCGCCCCCGAGGGATCAAAACGGGAGAAGGGATCTGGTGACGCTTTATTTACCCCTTTTATTTGGAGTTCACTTTCCTCTTCATCTGCTGCTGCGAGTTCGGGTCTTCCCAACCCCGAGAGCTGTGTTCTCACCCTCGCCATTCCCATCTCCTGGGTGGAAAGACGAAAGGTCCTGAGATTCGGGAATCGGGGAAGAGTAATGTTTCCTCACTCTGGATGGGTGGCAACCTCAGGGGGTGAGGTTGTGGAGCCCAACTTTGAAAAAAAACCAGGTGGCAACCAAACCCCAAAAGGTGTCACTCTGGCTCAAGGGGTGGGTGGCTCTTCAGCCCACTGCCAGGTCATCTCGTTCTCCATCACGGTCCCTGTTATATCCCTAGTTTTTTGGACTCTGTCTTTCATCCAACCTGCTCAAGGCAGCCTAAATGAGTCAGTCACAACGAGCCTGAGAGGTAGGCCAGAGAAGCAAGAGCTCCCTCGGCCATTTTTGCAGCCAAGCGAGGATTCGAACCTGGGTCTCGGGAGTCCTCGGCCAACACTCTATAACCCCTGTGCCCCACGCACATACAGTAGGACTGTGGCGATTGGCCTCAAGGCCGGAAGCTAAAAACTACTTATCAAACACTATACATTTTGTGGTCTCTGACTCTCTCTAGTGGCCAGTTATAATAAATACATCCTGGAAATATAGATAGGCATTTGTGGGTTTTTTATTTTATTATTCTTTAGTATTTTTCAGGCAGTGGATAAGTGAATCAGTGGATACGGAGGTGTCCTACTGTACGTGATCCTTTGCTGCTTGGAGAAAAGTGGCAGCTGTGTCATTTTCTTGTATGACCTCTGCCCAGTCGCCTATACCTCCCGGGATGCTGCGAAACCTCATCTCGTCTGTGCCTCAGCCGCCTCGCCTGTTTTCCAGATGGTGATTCCACCTGGATAAAGTTACCAAAAAAAATGAGGTCGTTGGCATCTGGTTTCCCCAGCCGAGGGTGCTTTCGGGGAACGGATCACGCCACCCTGCGCTCGCTACGGAACCGGGAAAAACCTGGGCAGAGTTGCTTTTGAGATGGGCCTGCCCCGGGATCCCCTCCTTGCTCTTAAAATTTTAATATTTTTTTCCCCTCCCACTTAAAGGGAGCCCCAAGATTTCAGCCCATCGTCCTGGCCTGAACTTGGCTGGGATCCTGAAGCTCAAAACCTCTGCACTGCTGCTCGAGGAAGTGGGGGGGGGGATTTTTAGCCAAAAATGCTGGCAGGTTCTCCTTTAAAAAATCTCAGCTTCTTCTTTCCTTCTCCAGCCTCCAAATTCGGATCCAAAAAAAGCTCCCTCCTGCGGCCGGACGGCCAGTTTGAATGCAGCATTTCCAACCCCTGTCTTAAAGGATTCTGATCTCTCTTTCCCTCCCCCCCTTCTCCTCCCAAGCATCATTCCCGGCTTCTTGGAGTTTGCTGACTAAAACCATCTAGGAGAGCATCCTTCTGATGAAGACTTGAGCCAGAGAACTTTTTCTTTATTTTTTTAAAAAAAGCACCCAAGATAATCAGAAGTTGCAGGGATGGTAAGGGGGGGGGTGTAAAATAAGTCTAAATTAATAGCAAACCTGGTCCATTTCCAGCGCTCTCCAGCCTCGGCTGCATCTCGGATCCTGCATCTCTCTGCCTTGCACCATCTACTTTTAATTTTTATTTTTGGCATCTCAACTTCAGTCGGCTTTGTGCAATTTTTTCCCTCCCCCATCCCCCGGGGATCGTCCTTCTTTCCCCTGCGTCCTCTTCTCTCAAGGAGAAAAAAAACGGTGAGTGGCTTTGCCAGAAAGCAGAGCATGATCGGCTTTTTCTTTCTTTCTCTTTTTTGAAAAAAAATGCATGTGGGTTCGGGGTCGGTTTCATCTGGAGGATGATCCGAGCACCACACCTCCCAGGCTTTTGGTGCAATGTCGGATTTTTTGACCTCGAGCGAGCAAGCGAGAGAGAAGGTGCCCCCCAATAAAGCAGCACACCCATGCTGGAATTATTATTATTATTTTTCCCTGCAGGGACGCTGAGCATTATCCCATGAAAAGAGATGCTCTCCTTGCAACCGGGAACAGAATAGTTGAACAGAACTGAGAATAGAAGCCTGCAGGATCTGACTTTTCCAAAGTCTTTAGCCTGGAGTTTGCGAAGCCGAAATTTTGGAACCCGGGCATCTCAGGGTCCAATCCCCCCCTTTCCCCCCCTCTTTTAAGCAGGGATGCTGGAACATTTCCAACAGGCAAGGTTGAGAGATGATGATGAAGTCAGGAGGATATTGCCAATCCCCCCCCCCCTCTGCAGAGGGAGAAAGCTTGCACCGTTAACCCCTCAGTGACCTGGCTGGTCTCAAACTGTGGTTTCCCCAGACAGCCATCTGGCCCAGTGGTTAGAGCGTTTGAGTCGGGTTTGGAAAATCCCCAGTTTTTGTGGCATTCCCATATCCTAGAGAACCTGTTTCTCTTTGCTTGACTCAGTCTCCCTTACAGGACTTCTGAACGCCTCCTCTGCAGCTGTGAGTATGAACCTGTACCGGGCAGATTAAGCAAGGTGCTGGTCCTCATCGGCCACTGTAGCTGTATCTATTTTAAAAACCACTTGCTCTCATGGCCTGGATCTGAATCTCAATTTTTCCTAGTCTGAACGGCATGTAATAGAGGAATCATGGACATAAAACTCCCCCAAGCTCCCTTATGATAAAAAAAAACAGGTCACTCATTTTTGTCCTTTGCGATCCTTATTATCACAATTTTGCCAGCGGCTCACAGCATCCCTAGGGCCGAGAAAAAAAGCTTTCTCATCATGGGCTGTTCGGTGCTATGATTAAAAAATAAACTATTTGGGCTGATGATGGTCTGAACCCGGCAGGGTCTGGTATCCCGAGGTTCCTGTTAGCATTTATAATTATTTTTCTCCTCCCCGGAGCTGATGAAGTTCGGGTGTAGGTTTTTTTTTTCCCCACGCTGCACAGAAAGGGTTGCGTTCTCAGCTGCTGATGCAGCTGGAAAAGCTCCAGGAAACCTAGAAAGCTGTTTCGGAGCAAAACTGGGCTGTGTTTCATCTCAAAGAGTGGTGCCGGCCCATCCGCTTTGGGTTTCGGTCCGAACCCTCCAGGTGGTGAGTCCTATTCCTCCCCCCTGTCCATCGGTTGGACAACTTTTATTTCAAATTATTCTCTTTTTAAAATTGAGTAGCTGAAGAATTCCAAACCCCCCCCCACACACAGCCAGCCCCCAGGGTTTCCATCACCAGTCCAGGATTCGAACTCGGGCGCCTGATTCTCTACTCTTTACACCACACTTCGTTCCCCTTATTCACTTATATTTGCAGTAAAAGAACATTCGCTGCGTGGATGGTACCACGCACCTCTTCATTATTCCCGTGGTATCGGCTGGAATGGGGAATGGAGTCTGGAGTTATGGAGCCTTAGCATTATCGAGTTGGAAGGGGGTCCCCCGGGAGGTCATCTAGTCCAACCTCTTGCTCGTTCGCAATTGGCAACCCCGATCTTTTCTTTCCGGCTTTCCTCTAGATGTTCCCTGGAAGCCCCCCGTTCTGGGTTCTTCTCCTGGTGGTCCTCCTGACGCTCTCCGGCCAGGAAGCGCTGGCTCAGAAAGGACGCAAGAAAGTCATTCATGTCTCTGGTGAGGACGGGAAGTCTTTTTGATCCTGTTTGGGGCAGGGGTAAAGATGCATGGGGCCATTAAGGGGTGTGGCAGCCGGTGTGCCAAGAGTGATGGCAATGGTACAATATGACCCTCTTGTATCCAATATCTGCTGTTTCACTTATCCACGGCCTGAAAATATTAAAAATATTAAAAGAAAACTCCTAGAAATATATATTTCTAATGATGAAGTTACCAGAAATGGCCACTGGGGGGAGCCAGAGACCATGTGATGTACAGTATAGTGTTTGCTAGAGAAATATATTTCTATGATATCATTACCAGAACTGGCCACTAGAGGGAGCCAGAGGCCATGCTTTGTGTAGCATTCATGAGTCACTAGAGTTTTCTATTATCCACAGTTTTTGTCATCCACGGGGGGCTTGGAACCGATATCCTGTGGATACAGTCCTACTGTATTCCAAGACAGCTGGGAAAGGGTGCCCAGTTCTGGACGGCATATGTATTATCCTCCTAGTGGTGAAGTATGTTTAATCTCCCACCCCACCCCCTGACTGGTACAGCCAGAAGGAGAGAAGGGGAGGAAAAAAAGAATAACAAATGCCAAAAATATTGTCATTTTTTGTGTCAAGACTGGGAGAAAGGCTTTCGTGTGGGTTAAAGCTGAAGTTGGCAACTCTGAATCGACAGTAATGCTGTTGCTCTACCCAGAGAATCAAGCCTAGATTTTTTAAAAAACGAAGGGCTCAAAAGTGTGGGGCCAAGGGTGGGGAAAACCCATAGGAAGAACAAAATATAAGTCTGCTTTCTCCCCAATCAGATTGTTTTTTTAAAAAAATCCCCAAGTTTTGCCCGTGCTGAATTGAGATTCGTAAATTTTTTAAATGACAATTAAATGGAAATAAAAATTTTCACCCATCAAGGGGAAAAAAAGTGTTTGTTATACCAAGAGGAAAGAGGTTAGATTCTTAAAAGCCACATTGGAGGGTTGCAATGCTCGTAATGGGCCAGTAGGGGGAGTGCTAGGCTTAAAAATGGGTCCCAAAGACCCACAATAGAAAAAAGGTTCTACCACAAATTTTCCCATACAGAAGGTTGTGAGTTTGATTCCCAGTGTCGCCAGATCAAGACAGGATCTTGTCCCAAATTCTGGAGAGCCAGGGAGGGGTGTAGACGAAGCAAGTATGTTTTATTTTCTCCACCCAAAACAGGAAATATGAACAAATAAGTCTCAATAAATTTTTTTAATGATTAGAACTACAGTGCAGGGCTTTCCAGAAGTTAAGGAGTCATAATGAGTTACTTCTCAAATGCTGTGAACGAGTCATGGGAAGCCATGGCATTCGAAGAATAGTTTTTTAAGCTAGAAGAGGAATGCAGATGTCTGCAGAGGGCAGTCTGAATTCGGAATGTATTGTTTCTGATCCCTGGGTTCTGTGTTTGAATCCTGGGCGGCCAAAACTCTTTTCTGTGTCCAGAGGATGACAGTGGGGCTGTCGTGGTTCAGACGGCCCCCGGGAAGGTCGTCACCCACCGCGGCGGCACCATCATCCTTCCCTGCCGGTTCCATTACGACATTTCGGCCCACGACGCGGATGAGATTCGCCTGAAATGGACCAAAGTGGTGGACCCCATGTCCTTCGAGGACGTCTTTGTCGCCATGGGTCAAGAGCGCCGGGCCTTTGGGAACTACCGAGGCCGGACGGCGTTGCAAGAGGACGGCGCCGGAGACGCATCGCTCGTCATTCGGAATGTCACCTTGCAGGATTATGGGCGCTACGAGTGCGAGGTGACGAACGAGTTGGAAGATGATGCGGGCATGGTGAAACTGGACTTGGAAGGTGAGTGGCGTGGCTGATTTTGTTGCTGTGCACAAGACCAAGAAATTGTGCAAAACTGCTCTCTCGGTGGCCTTGCTTCTTACACTGATGAAAAAATACATATACTAGCAGCTCCGGATGGGTTGCTCTAGTCTTTTTGAAGAATCAAGCTTTTTTGGGGGGGGGGCTTTTCTCTATGTGCACCTGACTTCTGAGCCAGAAAGGACACTAATTTTCCGCAAAGGCATTTTGCTCAGAATTCTTGAGACCTTTAGGGGGAGTAAAAAGGAGAAATTTGGCCGCCTTAAGAGGGTTAATATTCAAGAGAACACGGAATTTAGCTGGCATTCTTAATACCCTTTGATGTAGAACAGCAGAAAAAAAAATTATGATGGACAGAGACAAGAGTGTGTGAAGAGTAGGAGCCGGTTTGAAAACAAGCGACCCATGAGACGGGGCAGGATGTCCCATCATCCCCTAACTAGCAGAGCCAGGGGGAGGGTGATGGGTTGCGGAATTCCCCCCCCCCCAAGAAAAAAAAACTGGGCTTAATTTGACTGAATGGAGAACTAAGGTCCTGGCTTGAATTTTAAGCTGTTTTAAATAAGACTATTAAATTTAATAGTCATTGACTAATTTTTTTTTGGGGGGGGGGGGGGAGGGTGATGCGGAATTCCCCCCCCCCCAAGAAAAAAAAACTGGGCTTAATTTGACTGAATGGAGAACTAAGGTCCTGGCTTGAATTTTAAGCTGTTTTAAATAAGACTATTAAATTTAATTTAATTTGACTAATTTTTTTTTGGGGGGGGGGGACTTTCAGGGAATTTCCAAGCTCCGGCTGCGAGAAGCCGTTAAAAACAACAACAACAACCCAGGCAGGCTTTGAATTTAAAGCCTGCCAATCTCCATGGCACTGGTTTAAAAAAAAAAGAGAGAGAGAGAGAGAGAGAGAAACATCTCCGTGTTGGGGAAATGTGGAAATTTCTCTCACCCCGGCCTTGTTGGGATGTTTTACTCATCCGTGCGCGACCATCTGTCTTCCCAGTTTTATTAGCTCCTGACAGCAAAACCTGCGGCTCCCATAAAAGTCAATAAAAGCAGGGATAAAATACCCCAGAGGTACTAATCTGTGGGTTGGGGGGGGAGGAGGGAGGAATTTAAAATATCGGCCTGGGGTTCTCGAGGAAGGCGTGAATCGAGGCTGGTTCGGGATGGAACGGAGAGGGTTAGAGAGGTTTTCCTGAGGAAAGAAGGATCGTGGATCAACCCAATCCGGTTCTCCGTCTCCCGTCACTGAGGGTAGAAACAGGAATATGAAGAATCATATTCAAGAATTAGAGGGGAAAGCTGGCATTTTTTCCAAGTGGGGGCATCACGGGGACACCTAGAGGCTCATACATCGTCCCCAAGT